TGCCTCCAGAAGCGGTGAATGCTCCAACACTGGAAGTTTTTAAGAAGAGACTGGACAACCATTGTCTGAAATGGTATTCCTGCCTGAGCAGGGGGTTGGACTAGATGACCTCCAAGGTCCCTTTCAACTTTATTATTATTATTATTATTATTATTATTATTATTATTATTATTATTATTATTATTATTATATATGGATCATCGCACAGTCAGCCAGATGTTCAGACTGGATTTGGCATTTTTGTCTACCTATCGAGTCCTTACCAAGGACTGGAATAGGCAGATGTGGATGTTTGATGATATTACAGATATTGTCGCAGGATGGAAGCAGTTCCTAATAAGGCCGCCTTTTGCAATTGACTAATAGCGAATTTGTCAATGCCAATTGTGTTCAAGTGGTGCTCCAGTTGTTTTGGGATTGCACCCAAGGAGCCTATGACTATTGGTACTACCTTGCTTGCTTTTGCCACAGTCTTTCTATTTCTATTTGTAGGTCTTTGTATTTTGTTATCTTCTCCAGTTCTTTCTCGTCTATTCTGCTGTCTCCAGGCACTGCCACATTCACTATCCAGACTTTTTTGTCTTTCTTATCGACAATTGTTAAGTCTGGGGTGTTATGTTGCAGGTGCTTGTCTGTTTGAATTCTGAAGTCCCAGAGCAGTTTAATTTTATCATTTTCTATGGACTTTCTCTATTTTATGATCCCACCAGTTTTTGCTTACAGGCAAATGATATTTTTTGCAGATCTTCCAATGCACCATTGTTGCTACTTTGTCATGCTGCTGCTTGTAGTCAGTCTGTGCAATCTTCTTGCAGCAGCTTACCAGGTGGTCCACTGTTTCTTCAGCTTCTTTGCATAGGCGGCACTTACTGTCTGTTGCTGCCTTCTCAATTTTGACTTTATATGCATTTGTCCTTAAGGCTTGGTCTTGTGCAGCCAGAATTAGTCCCTCGGTCTCTTTCTTCAATTTTCCTGCTCTTGGCCATTGCCAGGTTTTATTATTATCTGCTTTCCCAGCTATTTTTTTCATGTATTGGCCATGTAGTGCTTTGTCTTCCCATGCCTCTATTCTGTTCTTCATTTGGTCTTTTTTGTAGGCCAGTTTGGTCTCTCCAGTAGTCAGTAAGCCTTCCTGATATACTAATTTCAGTGCATCTTCATCATTGTTCTTCAGATATTCTTCCAAAGCCATTTTTTCTTCTTCAACCATCTGATGTACTTGCAGCATTCCACATCCACCTATTTGCCTTGGTAGATAAAGTCTGTCAATGTCACTGCCTGGATGAAAGGCATGATTCATTGTCATTATTTTTCTGGTCTTCCTATCCATTGCTTTTAGCTCTGCTTGAGTCCAGTCCATTATTTCAGCTGTGTATCTAATGACTGGAATTGCCCAGGTTTTGATTGCTTTCATGGTATTTCCTCCATTGAGTTTGGACTTTAAGATCTTCTTCACACTCTTGAAGTATTTACCTCTAATCTTTTTCTTGACTTCAGTGTGCATGATGTTGTCAGTGTGAAGGATACCTAAGTATTTGTAGTAATCTTCCTCATCCAGACTCTTACTGTTATTTTCATGGGGCATCTTGATTCCTTCAGTTTTCACTATTTTTCCTTGTTTGATAGTAAGTGTGGCACATTTGTCCAAGCCAAACTCCATTGCAATATCTTGGCTATATATATGGACAGTGTTGAGCAGCGATTCTATTTCAGATGATGTTTTTCCATACAGCTTCAGATCATCCATCATCATCATCATCATCATCATCATTATTATTATTATTATTATTATTATTATTATATCTTGAAGTTACTGAACTTGAGTAACAATGTCCTATGACCTGAAGAACTGGAGATGTTTTTCTCTGAGAAAAGAAGATTGGAAGGAGTCATTATGCCCACCTTCGGGTACCTAAAGAAAAGCTGCAGACAAGATCTTCATGAATGGTCTTCCATGGCTATAGAAAGTAACTAACGCCAGAAACAACCAGGATGAATTTACTCTAGATTTCATTCAAGGAGGAGGTTCCTGACATTGGAAGAGTCCACCTATGGAGATTATGTGTTCTCCATCTTTGGAAGTTTTCAAGAAAAGGCAGGACAGCCAGTTTGTGATGATGATTTAACTGGTTGCAGAAAGTTGGAGGATTTGCCAGCTCCACCACAGTTCCATGATTCAATGAGAACAGTGAATAACTCAGAACAGAGGGATTCCACCCCCCCCCCAATAGTTATTTATTACACTAAATAGCAAAACCAGTCGATTCACTTGGCCACAATGGGATTGTAGCAAAAATGAACTCCTGGAAAAAAAAGAATAAGCTGCATTTGTTGATTAAGTGCCTTGTTTAAAAAAAACAACAACAACCCCAGTCTTCTTCCAAAAAACATTTCTGGGACAACTTAAGCAGATAGACCATTTTTCAGAGAGCAATTCTGCTTGCAAATTTACCTGACACTTAAGGAAAAAGAGATGGGGAGGAAAGAGAAAATAAATATGTGTGCATTTTATTATTAAAGCTCAGCGGTTGCTCTGATTCAACGCTCGAGAACAATAGGAATGTCTCTGAAAAGATCTGTTCCTGTTAGGATATCATAGCCTACTCCAAATTTCTACTGCATGTCTCCTTGTCCTTTTTTTTAAAAAAAAATTATTTTGCTAAAGATGTTTCTGGTTGTTTTTCTTCCAACGTTTGTTTTCCAGCTGCCAAAATCTATATTCTGAGTCAGTTGAAAAATGACTAATAGCTCATCGCAAATAAATAGATGGAGAAAATGTGGACCTGGATGCTTAGATAGAAAATGACTCCACCATTGTATGGGATGATTTTGTTTCTCTGTATTTATTTTCACACCACAGCTCTCCAGCCGTGTTTAGCCTCTCTCTTACGGGGGATGAATTTTAAAAGATCTGTCAGGGTTAATGCGATGATCTCGCTTTTTTTCCTCCTGCCTCAACCCACAGATTTCATGTCAGTTCGTGCATGGGTGCTTCTCTCTTCTTATCCAGTCAATGCTTCCATCATTGTTATTTTTTTGTCCTTATGCCTTTCCTTTTAGCTGCATAATATCCTAGTATTTATCCCTTAATTGCAACTTTTAATCTTGACTTTAGGACAAGGGAAATCCACTGGACGGAGATCAGATTGAGCACAATGTGGGTTCCTTTTGACTGCCAAACTGCCCATTCAGTGCTTAGCCTGCTGAAGTTGGAATGGAATGGAACGGAATGGAACAAACAGAACAGAACAGAATAGAAAATAGAATGGAGTGAAGTGGAATGGAACGGAATGGAACAGAATGGAACAAAGTTGAACAGAACAGAACAGGTGGAGTGGAATGGAATGGAATGGAACAAAACAGAATAGAAAATAGAGTGGAGTGGAGTGGAGAGGCATGGAATGGAATGCAATGGAACGGAACAGAACAGAACAGAACAGAACAGAATAGAAAATAGAATGGAATGGAATGGAGAGAAATGGAATGGAATGGAACAGAACAGAATAGATGGGTTGGAATGGCATGGAACGGAACGAAACAGAACAGAACAACCTTTCTTGTTAGTTTTCTGTATACCCAATAACAATAGCAAGAACACTTAGATATTGCTTCACAGTGCTTTACAGCCCTCTCTAAGTGGTTTACAGAGTCAGCATGGTGCCCCCAACAATCTGGGTCCTCATTTTACTGACCTTGGAAGGATGGAAGGCTGAGTCAACCTTGAGCTAGTGGATCAAACTGCTGGCTGTGGGCAGAGTTTCCCTGCAATACTGCATTCTAATTATCTTTGTTGCTCTTCCCTACACTCTTTCCAGAGTCTCAACATCTTTTTTCTATCATGGTGACCAAAATTGGATGCAGTATTCCAGGGGTGGCCTTATCGAGGCATTATAAAGTAGTAGTAATACTTTGCGTGATCTTGATTTTATATCTCTGTTAATGCAGCTAGGACAGTGTTGGCTTTTTGGGCAGCTGTAGCACATGGCTGGCTCATATTTAAGTGATTGTCCACTAGGACTCCAAGATCCATCTCGCAGTTGCTACTATTGAGCCAGGTACCACCTATTCTCCACCTGTACATTTGTTGTTATTGTTTTCTTGCCTAAATGTAGAACCTTACTTTTCTCACCATTGAATTTCACTTTGTTAGATAGAGTCCAGTGTTCAAGCTGTAGCTGTGAGACCAGGCTGATGCTGCCATGCCTAAAGGTGAAGGAGGCACCTAAGCAGGATGGATGATAACCAGGTATCAGAATAGAATAGAATAGAAAATGGAATAGAATAGAATAGAATAGAATAGAATAGAATAGAATAGAATAGAATAGAATAGAATAGAATAGAATAGAATAGAATAGAATGGAATGGAATGGAATGGAAGAATAGAATAGAACAGAACAGAATAGAATAGAATAGAATAGAATAGAATGGAATGGAACGGAACGGAATGGAACGGAACAGAACAGAATAACAGAGTTGAAGGGAGTTTGTAGGTCATCTAGTCCAACCTCCTGCTCAACCAGGAGACCCTGCACCATTTCTGACAGATGGCAGTCCACTCTCTTCTCAAAAGCGTCCACTGATGAAGCACCCACAACATTTGAAGGCAACTTCTGTTCCATTGGTTGATTGTTATCACTGTTAGAAAATTTCTCCTTATTTCTAGGTCGAATCTCTCCTTGATCAGTTTCCATCTGTTATTCCTCATCTGGCTTCCTTGACTTCCAGTTCTGTCACTCTGAGATGGGCAACCATAGAAATTGAGCAAACAAGCAAATAAAGGACACAGGGATGGAGGATACCTTGGTCTTGAATCAGCCAGTCAGACAAGGCTTGGCTAAGCCTGATCAGGAAGATTCTTCACGTTCTCCTCTTCTCCTGTGCTGCAGCGGCCTCACAACTCTTATAGTTTTAGCACAGCTGGGGGCTGCTGAGGGATCTCTGAAAGGTTTTGCATGCAGGAAAAGCAGCCAAACCTGTTTTCGTTTCTCTACTTTTCCCAGAAACTAATCCCCTGCTGAGATATCGCTGGGCCTTCAAAAGTTGAGAAGAGAAAGGAAGAAAGTCATGAAAGGAGGAGGAAGAATATTCAAACTGCCTCCCCCCCACACACACTTCAAGGAGCAGAATTGCAGAGGAGGGGAAATGAGTACACCAAAGGCGTTTGTTTTTTTCCCCATTTATGGAGATGGGACTGTAAATCAGAAGCGACTGGCATCCGTCGCTCTCCCTCACGCTGCAAAAGTGATCTGGACTCCTCCTGAAAAGTGCCTTTAGCTGCCTCCTGTCCCCAGCAAAGGGACTCTTCTGCAAGCTGATCTCATGGAACCTAGAATAATGGGTTTAGAAGGGACCTTGGAGGTCTTCTAGTCCAACCCCCTGCTCAAGCAGGAGACCCTCTATCAGAGGTCCCCAACCTTTTGGGCACCAGGGACCAGTTCTATGGAGAAAGGTTTTTCCGCGGACCGGGGTGTTGAAGGAAAAGTCTTCATCATGATTCATCCAAGCCGGGGATAAACAACATGGTGACTGCTTTAGAAAGAAGGTTGCAGTTTATTGAAGAGGCAGACAGACAGATGGTTCTGGCAGGAAAGAGGAGAGAAAAAAGGGCTGAGCACATGTGGGGAGTGGGTTTTTATACCCTCTCGAGCTTTTTATTTGAAGAGTTTCCTGTTCCTGTTTCAGGCTTTGTATTTCCTGTGTCACGTATTCTGACCTGAGTCTGGGTGTGCCTTTCTGGTATTCTTGATGGTGGTGGGTTAATCCTATTATGTCCCAAGGGTTATATCCTGCTTCCCTGGTGCTGGGGCTAATGATTCTTAAGAGTTTGGATGGGGTATGCAGATTTTAGGTCTCTTTGTCTCCCTAAGCTTCTAGCTCCAACCTTCCTGATGGTTTACATCTGCATTTGTACAGAGCTGGCTTCTGCTTGGGACAGAGAGACTTGGGGGCAGGATTGGTTTCGGCTTTTAAAATCCTTTTGAGGAAATATATTTTTCTGCCCTTTTAATATTTCCTTCTCTGGGGGGGTTGACTTCCCACAGGAAAGTGTGGGGTTTTGTGTCCCACGAATGGGACTTTGCTTGTTTATGTAGACAGGTTGCTGGCATGCTGCGGCCCACTACCGGTCCACGGAGCATGGGTTGGGGACCCCTGCCCTATATCATTTCAGACAAATGGTTGTCCAGTCTCCTCTTAAAAGCCTCAAGTGATGGAGCACCCACAGCCTCTGGAGGTGTAAGGTCCCTGGCCCTTAACTTAAATTTGAGATACCAAGTCTAATCAGGCAATTCAAACGGAGGCTTCTTGAGGACACAATGCTCTAATTGACCAAATAAGATGGCTGGGTGGCAGACAATCTGGAACGCTGGCAGAGTTATGTCCACAAGTGCCACACCTTAGAAAGTTAGTAGCATATACACTTTGTTGGTCAATGAAAACCAGACAACAGAGCCATTACATCGTAAGGAAGACATCCATTATTCCTGTACTCTCCCTTATTCCCTCCTTCAGTACATCCCATCCATGTACATGTTTCCACACTTGCATGAAATTTGTCCCCGATGCAAACGCTGGTTACAAAAGCGAGATAGCAATAGTTAGGCTAAACAATTTCTTTTTGTTCCAGTTACAGAACCCTTCAGAGGCAAACTGTTCCACTGATTAACAGACTGATGGAGTCGGAAGGGACCTTGGAGGTCTTCTAGTCCAATCCCCTGCTCAAGCAGGGGAATCTGTACCAGATTCTCTTCTTGAAAACATCCAGTGATGGAGGACCTACTACCACAGAAGGCAAGCTATTCCACTGCTTAATTGTTCTCACTGTCAGGAAGTTTCTCCTTAGTTCCAGGTTGCTTTTCTCCTTGATCAGTTTCCATCCGTTGCTTCTTGTCCTGCCTTCAGATGCTTTGGAGAATAGCTTGACTCCCTCTTCTTTGGGGCAGCCCCTGAGATATTGGAACACTGCTATCCTGCCCCCCCCCTTCCCAGTCCTTCTTTTCTCTAGACTGGCCATACCCAATTCCTGCAACCATTCATTCTGTTTCACACACACACACAGTCCCTAATCATTTTTGTTGCTCTTCTCTGCACTTTTTCCAGAGTCTCCTTTTCTATCATGGCATCCTAAACTGGATGCATTTTCCCTTCTGCCTCTCTTTCCCATTTCCATCAAACAGTCCATTCACGTTAGAAAGATAACAGGGGACGTTCAGGCAATAGGAAGCTCAGAACAAACAGTTATGCTGTGTCCTAATAATACAACTTTTGCTTATGTTCCAGAAACAAATCCCAATCCCAAATCACAGCTAGGCAATTCTAGGGCAAGTAGGGTCATTTTGAACAAAAATTGCTTTTGATTTTTTTTTTTCAAATGGAAAGGAAACACTCAATGAAAATCTCTCTGGGATGGACAAGCAGAAAGAGAGAGAGAGAGAGAGAGAGAGAGAGAGAGAGAGAGAGAGAGAGAGAGAGAAACGTGTGTGCTTTTATCTCTATTGTGTTGCAATCCCTTCTTCATTTTGCAGTTACACTTTAATTACATCCTGACATAAGTCTTAATGAGGCAAACCCTCACCAGGGTGATTTACCGGTCAAGCAATGAGATGGGGTGATGGTGATTACTCTACCAATGTTTGAAGAGCTGCCACAAGGAAGAGGGGGTGGGTGTCAACCTATTCTCCAAAGCACCTGATGGCAAAGACAAGAAGCAACGGATGGAAACTAATCAAGGAGAGAAGCAACCTGGAATTAAAGAAGAAACGTCTTAACAGTGAGAACAATGAACTAGGGGAACAACTTGCCACCAGAAGCTGTGGATGCTCCAACACTGGAGGCTTTGAAGAAGGGACCGGACAACCATTTGTCTGAAATGGTATATATGGTCTCCTGCGTGAGCAGGGGATTGGACTAGATGACCTCCAAGGCCCCTTCCGACTCAGTTATTTTCTTAT